GTTGGACCCTATTTTCAAAGGATGGCTTGCACCTGTTACGGGGAATGAAACCAAGGCTTTCTGTTGTTGCTGCAACATCCAGATGGTATCAGAAATCACCGTTCTCAAGAATCACGCAAAGGGAGGAGTGGTGCCGACACACTCTGCACGTTTATAGGCATTATATTACTGGTTTTTAATATGTTTATTTAAACAGGGCAATATAAAACACCTTCTTTGTTATATTATATTGGAGTGAGAAGTCGTTTATAGAACGTTGTTATCAAATTTATAATGTACGATAATTTGTACTGAAAAACGATAATTTAGGCCTCTCTGTACGATATTGTGAGATTTTGGATCTGGCAACACTGGCCACGACTCACTGAGACAGAGCACTCTCTCTCTCTCTCACACACACACACACACACACACACACACACACACACACACACACACACACACACACACACACACACACACACACACACACACACACACACACACACACACACACACCAAGTAATGTTTCTATGGTTACATTGAGATTTCTTAGTAAATATTCTATTTGGTGAGAGATAAACTTTATTGTATTTATCCTAGTGAATCTATAATTAAACGAGTAAACTAGTAGTAGCACATTCAATGTCAAAGAAAGTAAAAAGTTATTATTAGGAGAGGGAGAAAGTTTAAGTGGTTAGCAGCAGTGTTCAAGAGATGATGGCCCCCTCCATGAGGCCACCACAGCTCAGCAGAACATCATTGTAGCTTCTTCTGGGGAGGAAAACACTTAGAGAAAAAATAAAGTTAACAGCTGAAATAACAGGAAATAATACAGTTAAAGAGCAGATTGTTGAAAAAAGTAGTAGAGTTTGGAAAGTGGTCAGTATGTCCTCCAGCAGTCTAAGCCTATAGCAGCATAACTACAGAGATAACTCTGGATAACCTAGCCTTTTAGATGGTGGCATGTTGGAGGCAGGGCAAGGGAGAGCCGTCTTTACCGACTGTACACTCCACCTCCCTCTACTCCCCCACTTGTCCAGATCTAGGCTAACATCAGATTTTAACCATGGACCCTATCAAATAAAAATGTTTTAAGCCTATTCTTAAAAGTAGACAAGGTGTCTGCCTCACGGACTAAGGCTGGGAGTTGGTTCCACAAGATACCAGAAATCAGAAAAAGCAAACGCTTTTTTTCAGTCAACCACACCTTTAAAACAAATGAACTATTCTAGTGTTTTTGATTTGTTTTATAGATCTAAACAATCAATCAAAATTAGAGTAGACAAGCAACACAGCTCTATTTAAGTCAGTATTGATATGACCGTCTGCTCCCTTTTTCAAGTAATTGCTGAAAAACAAACTGACCATAAATTCTGAGCGTTTCTCTGATAGCGATGGAAAATTTCACAGCAAAGACGTTTGAGCAAATCTTCTGTGTGTACACTGTTGCTGAATCTTTCTTCTTTTTTCCATGACCTACCTTTCCTTCCTGCAAGTTTTAACTTAGTCCAAAATTTCAGCAATAAGTCAGCCATCTGGAGTCACGCGACTTGACTCAATGCTTCAGTGAGCCGTTACTCTTCCTTGTGGTTTTGACACCAATCCTTCACTTTTTCATCACATGTGACAAAAAACAATCTGTGCAAGTCAACTGAAGGTTTTAATTGTAAATTTGAGAAAAATTTAATTAGAGAAAAGATGTTCTTTTACAACTGTCTTGTGGCTGACATACATCAGCTGCAGGCAGGACGACGTGACATAACTTACGCCGGTGGACTCCTTGGTATTCAGTATTTACACAGTGATAAAACTTTAGAGCCGACGGGATAACACAACACATGGAAGGAATGTGTGGTTCTAATTTAGAAAGCAAGAAGCATGCTTTAGATTTTTCTGTCCTCTCGGCTTAGAGAAAGACAGAATGACATATTTATGAAGTGGAAGCCATGTTTTAGCTTAACACATAAAAGACTGTCTTTTATAAAAATGTATCACTGAAAATAAAAAAATTGTAATGCTATGAAATGATATTTGCCCCTTTCTAGATTCCTTCTGCTTTTAACTTAAATCTTATTGATCAGTAATGACTCCAAATCAGACAAATATATTTTAAGTAAAATCAAAATTCAATTTTCAAATGAAGATTTCATGTATTGAAGATAAAGCTATCAATGCTAACCTGGCTGTTATTGAATTATTAATTACCTCTGAATAAACAACATGATTTGAACAGGTGAGTTCAGTTTCATCAGCCAAACCCAAACCTGATCAATTCCCAACTCGTAGAATAATAAATCATTTCATTTGAACCGGTCTGACAACATCAGGCAGGCTAAAAGAGCTAACTAGGCCCGGTTTTGGAATTCAAGCACAAAAGAACCCAAAACATAAAAACTCTGCAGAACTGATCCATGTTAAGGTCAGAGTTAATGATTAAACAATAAGAGAGTGATGTGAAGCAAAAATTGCCTCTATGAAATAGTTCCAAGTCCAAAATGTCAGCAAAGGTTTGTCTTGGGGTATGGGTAAGTTCAGGGGGTGCAGGGATGGTTCCCATTTCTGCAATCCCATGGCAGCCTGTACCCCAATTTTATTTTAAAATGTAAACATTTTCGCTAATGACAGTCCACACAGATGTACACTTAGGGCCTTGGGGGTGACGGCACCTGGAGGGGAGGAACTGTTCATTTAGCCTCACCTCTGGTGCCGGTGCCCACCTCCAATTTTAAGCTGCATCTAGACACTGAGGGTTCGAGGGGGTGGGGGTGGTGGTGGTGGTGGTGGGGGGGGGGGGGGTGCTGACGACAGCTAATGTAGGCAGAGGGGTGTCTGCACTGCCCCATCCACCCACCTGTTTTTAATGTTCTCTATATCAACACACATCAACACCACATTGGAGCAGGCGGTGGAAGACTATGGGTCTTCTCACACCTCCGTCCTCAGTTCGCTGCCTGAGGCTGGAGGCTAGGAGTGGGAGCTGGCCCTCCGGTTGGGGTCTGGGGTAGTGGGTTGCTTTGCCCTGCATTGGGCGAGGGTGGCCTCCTCATTGGGATTTAAAAACAACCAAAGGAATTTCTACCAAAAAAAAAATGAAAATGCAAAGGTCTGTCCCACATTTACTAAATAAATAAAAATATGCATCTTGATTAACCCAGAGACTGCATCCAGTTACATCTGGAATTAAAGAACATCAAACCAGGAGTCACACATGGAGGTGGTAGTGTGATGGTCTGGGGCTGCTTTGCTGCCTATAAGGACATGGAGAACCATCAGTTTGTCCCTTTAAAATGGTAAATGGTAAATGGCCTGTGTTTGATATAGCGCCTTCTAGAGTCCTGGAACCCCCCAAGGCGCTTTACAACACAATCAGTCATTCACCCATTCACACACACATTCACACGCTGGTGGGGATGAACTACAATGTAGCCACAGCTGCCCTGGGGCGCACTGACAGAAGTGAGGCTGCCGAGCACAGGCGCCACCGGTCCCTCCGACCACCACCAGCAGGCAACGTGGGTTAAGTGTCTTGCCCAAGGACACAACGACAGCGACAGACTGAGCGGGGCTCGAACCTGCAACCTTCCGATTACGGGGCGAGCACTTAACTCCTGTGCCACCGTCGCCCCACAATAACACTTGTACATGCAGCAGCAGGACAATGGACTCATATTGAGATTACATTTTTAATCCCTCAGGAAAGGTTCCTCTGGAAACTTCAGTTTCTCAGCAGTAACACATAGTGGCATTTCCACAAGAGTAATTAGCGAGTATATAAAAGGGAAAGAAATATGGCAGTAAAATGAGATTAGCATTATACTGAGATAGTAAATTGCACATCAAATCCATACATATGTTTACAGTATAGTATGGTGCACATTACTTATACTGTTCTCAGTCTCAGTCCTTAACTGAAGCAGAGAGGCGGCTCAATAAATCTAAACATGAAAGGAATGCTGAAATAAGGTGATGACCTAAAACAAGCCATTCATGCTCTAAAAGCTTCAGATGTGACTTGATTTAAATGTTTTTACAAAGAAGAGTGGGACAAAGTAATGTGAGTCTCATCAACAGTTAACACAAGACCTGGTTGGTTTGGTTGGGTTTTTGTCCTCAGAGCAAAAATACTGTATTCACTTGCAAAATGCATTTTGTATCTGTTTCTCTTGTTTGATACAGAAAATTCTTTGCTGATTGACTTTTTCTGTAAAGCGTCTTTTTCTGTTTTAATTTACCCCAAAATAAGGTCGAGTCGAGTTATTTTAGCGTTTTTGGACTTCTGTAGAGGTTTACATAAAGTGAAGAGCATATTTATTTTTATAAAAAAAGAATAATTCACATTTTTATCTCACTTCACTTTAACTGAAAGAGGGTGAAAAACACATATAGTAATGTTTTATGTTGAGAAGTCTCCAATATGGTTTTAAATACATATGTTAAAAAGTATTTCATATTAGCTAGTCTGTGTCGAGTATTAATAAAACAGAGATTTTTAAAAATTTTCATTTTGTTGCTGACCAACAGAGCTACTGCGATAGGATAACGGTGTCCCACAGGGATGCTGATGAACTGTAACCTCCTGCTGCAGCAGCCACTTTGCTTCTAAGAAATGTCACATATTACTTTTACCCTGTAAAACCAGGGGAGTGAAATAATATGCAATGACCCCAGTTGTCCTCCCTCACCCTCCTTCTCCCCTCCCCTCCTCCAGACACCAATAACCTGCCAGGTTTGCACCAAACCCCCTCCATCACTCATTAACTCTGCTCCGTCAGAAGAGCTCTGCTGCTGACGTGGCTGCGGTCAGATCATGTCCTGATCCCTGCATCATCCCACCTCCCTCTTTGGTTTCATCAGAGAATTTAGGAAGAGTAAATTTGGTCAAAGGTATGAAACCGTAGAAGGGGGCGGTGTAAAAAAATTTACAAGGTATGTGAGAATATTTAAGAGAATGTGAATCTTCTCTAAAAAACTGATGTGATGAAGTATTAGATGCACAAACACTATACTCCATCATTTTACAGTACATATTTTTATTTTTTTAACATGGTCAAACAATAATAACATTTTACCTACAGTTAAAAACTCCTTTCCTACCAAGTAAGGAGCAGTGAAAATAAACAAGATAAATCCTATTTAGTGACATTCATATATATATATAACATACAAAGATAACTTAAATACTTAAATAGATAATTCTCTTTAAATACATTGACTTAATATTTACTCACAGGTGTACTCGATGGAGTGCACCAACATCTTCAAAGACACGTTTACAGCAGGAGACCTCATCCTGTCAGTCACAAGTTCAACACAACGGGCAAAATTCAAGTTACCACAAACTTTCAATATTCTTTGCATTAAAGTGCTTTCCTGTGACCCTATAAAGAATCCTGGGACTCTCTAATGTGAAATCAGCAAAAAAAAAAAAGGCTGCCGAGAAGCTAACAGAAACATTGCTGCAAGCGTTTGCGATGGACAGCCTTGAAATCTGTTTTTTTTTACGAGGCACTGACGTTCAAAAACGTTTGCTCACATGACTTCACATGACGCAGAGCCTGACGTTTCAAAAACACAACAAAACTTGAAATACATTTTTTTAAAAGGGTAGCACAATGGTCTGAAACACAGATCAAACAAGAGACGATAAGCATCCTGATAGACCAGCAGAACTAACACCTGCTCACACACGTTTTGTGTGGGTGGAATATATTTAAGAAGTAGAGGGATTTCTTTTTCTTAGCGTTTTAATGATCCGTCACAAGACATCAGTCAGCTCCATTACAGCAGAAGGAAATAAAACGATTCACCTCAGCAAGCCTTTGGACAGATGAGACTTAAGACCGAGGAAATCACTGACTATCATCACCATGTGACCTCTCACGGCTAAAGCCAGGGCAGAAAAGACAATAAGACAAAAAATATATAATAATGTCACATAAAGTCACTCCATTTGTCAAGTATTACCAGGTATTTGGTGAATTTAAACCAATGCTCTGTCAGGATGATCTAACTTTTAAAAGCAAAACATAAGTTGTTAAGAATTATAAACAAACCTTAAAGTACACCATGTCTAGTTTTAACCTTTGAAAATGAGAGAAATACAATTCCTTTGTGGGTGTAGTTTAACACATTTTCATCAACCTCGGCCAGACAAAGAAAAATGGGACTAAAATATTTTTAGTCCGTCGTCTGCCCACCATTTTCAGGGATGGACACGAATAGAACCCAACAAGATGTTGTGGTGTCTGTGGTTGCTGGTGCTACGGCATTTTGTGCTCATATCTGAAAAAAAGCACAGTTCCACCTAACATTTTGGTCACCGTGGTCTCTCATTTAAAACACACATTGTAACAGTAAAACAGAACGGGCTTTTGCATTTGTTAGCTCGTACAGCATCATTACATCTGCACCTGCTGAGGAAAACTTGTTTCAATGTTAAACTCCTGAAAATGTAGTCCTCGACATCTCTTAGGCCAGAAAGACAACACTTTTTTGCGTTCATACCTTGTTTTAGTCCATAATTCACTTTTTTGTTTGTTCTTTTCTTACACAGTTTAGTAAAAGTTCTTTGTTACGTTACATGTTTAAGCTAGTAGCTATCTCTGAGGATGGCTAGAGCTACTAGCTGAAACATGTAAGGTAAACAAAAGACTTTTACTAAACTGTAAAAAAAAGAACAAAAAAACAGAAAGACAGCAGTAAGGAGAACACATTTATTTATAAATATGCACTCTAGCTCTTTGTGAGGGTTTTACTGAAACAATTTACCTCAGTCAAAGAAATTCTGCTTAATTCTATATTTGCTGGAGGTGATTGGGACAATAACATTTTCTTCCTAATTTAGACTCTCTTTGAGCTTTGGTGGAACAACCATTTTATAAGTATAGCCGAATCTGTTTGAGTGCATATTTGTGCAGCAACATCCTGAAAAGCTCAGACTCTATTTAAGTGGCACGGGTTTAATAAATCCAGAGTCCTGACTTGCAGGCATAACTTGTAAATAACGTGAAAAGGCTAATATTTCAGTCCAGCAGACAAAGGTGAAAGCACTGTAACCAGTGATCTGAGGCTCCAAGGTCCACTTTTCCACCAACGGTGTCCGCCAACAAACCACTCTGACTCAAACTGATACTCTGTCTGCGTTCCTTCCAAAACGCTCCATGCTCTTGACTCTGGTGGTTTGATTTTGTTGCAATTCTTCACAGTAAAGTAAAACATTAAGTCATTCTGAGCAACGAATTCCCAGTTTTACTGAACACTTGTAAAAGGTTGCAGGGATGGCACAGTCCACACAAATGAGAAGGTAAAAGGGTTTCACTGGATTATTCAAAAGGTATTTATGAATTTACTGATGTTGACAAGGCTCCAGCTCATGGTGCAGCTCATAATCCACATTAAAGGCTCAAGTGTTTGATCAAGGAGCTGAAGGATAACAAACACTGAAGAGGTTAGTTGGCTGGCAGGACGAGGCCACTGGACGGTGCCGGAGACTGACTCTTCCACTAAAAAGGATCTGAATGTCGTCTTGAGGCCCTTTTGGGTGTTTTGGAGCTTCCTTGAAAAGTGTGATTTTCTCAGGATGTTGGGCAATCTCAGATTAAATTTGGTCCAATTTTTAAATCCATCGGTGGAGTTTCAACAGCAGCGGCACCACACACTCTAAGGTGAGTGACTCCTAAGTTGTGGACTACATCAATCTCCATGGCAATGACAATACATAACACATTAAGATATAAATAATTAAATAAAATAATAGATAGACTTGCTGCAGGTGTTCTAGGCTAGCTCATCCAAAACTGTGGGGGCTCCTGGGGTTGATGGGCGATGACTCTTCTCGGCCGCTCTGGCCGATGAGCTGATACAGACGGTGGCTGAGGTTCTGGACCTGGCAGGTACCCAGAACACAACCCACTCTCATCAGCTGGCCATTTTTAGGGTACTGGTGACCGCCTCGTGAGTGCGTCTGGCCGTGAGATCTCTTTTGCCTCTGCTTCATCTGTGAAACCTCAACAAGCTGCGCCCAGGCAGGGCCAAAAGAGGCGGTCTTCCCTCCTGATGCAGGGTGTCTCAGAAATCCAGGCAGCCATTCTGGTTCTTGGTTGAGCGGTGGAGATGTGGTGAGGTCATTAGTTTCACTTTCGGGAGAAAAAGAGACCTTTTCTTTCTGGCCAAGGAGTTTGTTGAGGACATTCAGCCTGGGAAAAAATAGATTAGGTAATTGGTTAACAACAACTTTTAAATGAGCTGACGCACTAATAAAACCCAAATTTCCAGAAGATGCGTAATCAACAGAACATTTAAACAGAATAGTGGTGTAATGGGTTAACAATGAGGGCAACATTGCACTTTGGTCTAGACCGTGCAATTACATAAGCTTCTTCTCCAAACACAGAACTTTTAAGAAGGGTTTTTATTAGTGATTAATTATACGATTTACACAAATACACATTTAAAAATGTCTGAATAATCCCATTGTGGCTCTAATAAAACTGTAATGCTGTGGTTAATTAATAATCTGGTCCCACTTTCATGACTCACCATTATAAAACTGATGAAAGCTTATAACAGGGTTTCATCAACTTGATGCCAACAGGTCTGTTTTAAAAATTACACTACTCGCTACTGAGCAGAATCTAAAACTAATTACTTCTTCTTTTGCTGCCTTTTTTATCCCAATTCCATTAATTTGGATTTTAAAATTACATTTTTTAACAATAAAAGCATCAAAATGTGTTTATTATGCATGGATTTTTAAAATGTTTGTTGAATTTTGATCTAAATCTCTTGTTTTATATACTTTGTGGATCAAACCAGTAGCTCTTTGCATAGCTCCATACCCATAAAGTAGCTTCCAGCTTCAGAAAGGCTGGTGACCTCTGGCCTATAAAGTGGTGCATTCAATTTAGGAATAAAAAGTGTTTTATTAACTATCGCTATAGCAGCCAATGCTGTAATCTGCAAGAATCCTTTTAGCCACATTAAGCAGCTTTATTAACCAAATGAATTGTACCTGCTGTGTCTGAATGCAGCTCTACCCTCCGCATGTCCTCATTTACAAGCAGAAAACACTCATCTCTTAATTTGGAACATAAAAGTTAATGGATGTTTGTAGCCTCTCATACACCGAGCCTTCTCACGTGAGGAATGAAAACATTTTGTACAAGCCAGCTGTTTCTTAGCAAACAGTAGTCATGAAACATCTAACCAGACTGGACATCAGCGTCGTGCTGATGCAAGAACCCAAACGTCTCAGCGGCGACATATAAAACAAACAAGCGGAATTACGGAAGACAAGCTGTATTATAATGTAGTCGGATAAGCATCAGTGCAGCCTTGTTTAACTAATCCTAATTAATCTGCGGATTGTTTATTTTTTCTGTGACCAGTCGTAAAGCTAAATGATCCGTTAAGAAGGACAAGGTGAGCGGTGTGTGTGACCAAACAGCTGCCAGACTCACCATCTGTTCTTTGTTTGACAACGATGTGCTTTACAATTTGACCCGGCAGCTCATTACCCAAACTGTTAAGTGCTGTTTGTGTTTGTGCAGAACGAAGCGACTCGAGTTTCATCCCTCATCCCCTCTGAAGACGATGGGATCTTGTTTATGCCTCGGCTGCAGCTCAGTGTTGGAGATCACATAGTTAGCAGTGCTGCAGCTGCAGCTCCTACTTTCCTATTGGTGTTTAACCAAAGCATCGTCTGCGTTTGCTTTTCTGACTAAAGAGAAAACTTTTTCCCCTCTCAGGGGCAGATTTAGGTTTCCAGTGGCAGACAACCACGGAAGCTCTAAAAATAAAATCTTTCCATGTGAAACGCTGGCTTGTGTAATTTCACTGTGAGCTCTCAGACTTGACTCATGCTGAGGCAAAGCTGTGCAGATGTGGCGGTAGGTTTGGTATTCCCTGCAGAAATGTTGAGGCTTTGATCTGTTAAACCAGGATGGTACGGTGGCCCCTAGAGGACATTCTACTCAACAGTTACTAAACAAGTGGTTTCATACCTCCACGCTGCAGACTGAGGTGAGGATTCGCTCAGTGTGCCGTGGTGCCACATCACCGAGTCACGCCCAACTGGACAATGCGAGTTACAGGAAAACGAATCAAACTATAAAAGTGCTGACCCAGCAGCTAGCTGCCCTATCATCGTTACTGCAAATAACTGCCAAGAAAATTATTTCACACAGCCAAATTGCATAGTTATTCTTTTTGCATCCCTATAACTATAATTACAGTGATGACATTATTTTGAGGTTAGAATTTAACGTTGGTAAGCATTTATGTGAATTACATCCTCCTGACTCCACTCGTTTAAACAAGACACAACTGTAATCTGTGGTGTTGATGATGCCACAGAACTGTTGTTGAACCCCAAAGGTCAAAAGTTTAAAAAGCAACTTCACTTGTTTTTTTCATCACATCTGCAGTGGTTTCTAATATAAATGTTTTATGGGTCAATCTCTGTGGGAAAAAAGCTCTCGCGCTCCTGTTTCAGGAAGTAGAAGTGAGCCAGGACAGCAGAAAGCAGCAGGATCTGGAGCCTTATTTCTTGATATAGGACTAGAGGCCGATCGATATGGTTTTCTTAAGACCAATGCCGATACCAATTTTTAAAGAATTTTGTTGCAGATGGTCGATATCTAAAGCTGATTATTGAGGCCGCTACACACACACACACACACACACACACACACACACACACACACACACACACACACACACACATATATATATATATATATATATATATATATATATATATATATATATATATATATATATATATGTATATATAAATGTTTTAGCAGCACATTGATTGTGGAAGACTACTGAACACTCACTGTGTGCAAAATAAATTAAATAAGTCAATCTTATAATATTTATTGAACTTCAAATATAAAACAATCTCAAAACTTTTTAAAAACTGTGTTGGGGTCCTTCAGGTCCTTTGTTCAGACTAGTAATGGTGGCAGGTGGCCACACAGGTGCCTGGTTTATTTATTTATTTATTGGCTTTTAAAAACAATTTCAGCCAATGGTTGATATAGAAGAAGTTGAATATGTCGCGTGGCTTCTAATTAGGACATCTGGCCATGGACTGGCTAACAGAAATGCAAGTCTACCACTGCTTCCTCTTCAATATTCACATTCAAATAACACTAGCCTGACCGAGTTCTGCTGCGTGGTGGAGCTGCTAACGCTAACGGTTAGCTTCTACTAGCCAAGACGTGCTCTGCATTCTCCTGGACTCTAACCCTAAACCAACAAAAGCACTCCCCATCACGAGCCAAGATGGTTGAGTCCATGAATGCTAATTTTCAGTGTGACGTCGATCTGCCAGGCTTTTCTAATCCGAGCGTTTAACCGTCTATTTTGTATCAGAAGCTAATGCAGGAGATAGGTAAAGAAGACTATTTTCATGTTCAGCCTGCGTGTGAAACGCAGAGTGAAAAATCATATTTAAAAAAAATAATTAAAGTGCTTTAGCAGTGAACTTGGTCTTTAAAATGAGTGGACAATAGCTGCCTGTCTACATCCATGGAAAAAAGGTTTGTGGAAGGCACAACTGTTGGTTTTCAAAGTTTCCTGCATCAATGATTTTTCAGATGTTTTCAGTAAGAGGTTTATATAATGTCTTCAGTGGGATTATTATCAAATTACACAATCAATTATAGAGAATGACACGGACACATTCTAATTACCGATTAAAAATCCGCTTTGAAACGACACGACTGTAAAACAAACTACATCAAACAGGTTGCATTTTCCATTCTTAACACATTTTGAATGACACAACAAGTAAGCCCTTACATCCATATACAGCAAACTGCAGTAGAAACCAGCTCTTTCATGGATGCAAAGGTTGGAGTTTAAGCCTAAGACATTAATCCCCAGAGGAATTCTCTGCCTGCTTGGTGCCCATTTTCACCCTCTTCAGCTTAAGCCGCACAACACCAGTTTGACTGTTTTGCACTGTTTTTAAAGATCTTTGCAGACTGGGCTAAAATCCTTGTTTAGAACATAATACTGTAAGAAATTTTATTTAAAGCCAAGGTAATAACAATTGTAGCCATATTTTATAATAACTCATGCACAAGAAACATAGAACAATGTCATTCTCCAAAAGCTGCAACAACCCTAATCAAGACCATGACCAATATGCATCCTAGGGTAACATACACACCAATCCTCCTTGTTTGGAGGACTCTTGTCCAACGTGTTACCATCTCCTTATCAGGACACATAGAGACTAGGGAATAAGCACAGAACATGGAAGGAATGACAGACATCCAAGCTTAGACACACTCAGTGTCAGGAAATATGGAACAGAAACGTTTGTTGTTATCTTACTGTCAGTGCACGATGGTAACAGAACATCTTGTGCTCAGAGAAGCTACAAGGCAAGTGAGAATTTCATGTACTTGTAAAACACTGACATAGCATTTATGAGAAATGCTTCTTAAAAAGCATCTTGGAGGGTTCTGGAGCAAGATGGTGGTTGGTGAAAATTATCTGTCAGCAAAGTGGTTTCAGGATGTCTTGTGTGTGTCTTTTCTTGGACCTATGTCAGATGGACTCAACAAGGCCCAGTTTACGTTTCTCGTTGGTTACACAAAAGAAGGAAAGCCGGCCTACTTTGGTTCTGACACTGGGGTTTGGGGAGCTTTTCAATGAAGATGGGACTGATTGGAGGATTAGGGCTGAGCAGGTGTAGGTTTCAGCAGCAGATGTTCAGCGGACAGAAAATAAACACCCTGTTGAGTAAGAGATTTTTGTGATGCTGGAGGAAAATTCTCCTTTATCATTGACACAAATGTGTTTGACTTTATTTTATATTCTTCCAACGTGAATCCATGAACCCGATGACTGCTCGACATAGACGCCAGTTCCACGCGACCTTACTGAGGATTAAGCAGTAAGGATGAGCGACTGATTACGTTCATAACTTTTATGGACAGGATTTCAAGGCGCAGCCAAGGTGTTGAGAGGATCTGCTTGGTGGTCTAAGGATCAGGTCTGCTTTTTGCAGATGGTGTGGTCTTGTTGGCTTCTTCAGACAGTGATCTCAAGCTTTCGCTGGAGCTGGGATGAGAATCAACTCCTCTAAATACGAGACCATGATCTTGAATCGGAAAAAGGTAGAATGCCTTCTCCAGGTCAGGGATGAGGTCCTGCCTCAAGTGGAGGAGTTTATGTATCTGAATGAGAGAAAGATGGAGCGCAAGATCGATAGGCAGATCGGTACAGCATCTGCAGTGATGCAGGTGCTGTACCGATCTTTTGTGGTAAAGAGAGAGCTGAGCTGGAAGGCAAAGCTCTCTATTTACTGGTTGACATACGTAGATACAAGTGGCAAAATGAGTTTTCTCCACAGGGTATCTCCCTTCGAGATAGGGTGACAAGCTTGGTCATCCGGGAGAGGCTCAGAGTAGACACGCTGCTCCTCCATGTCGAGAGGAGCCAATTGAGGTGGGGATAAGGATGCCTCCTGGACGCCTCCCTGGTGAGGTTTTCCAGCCACGTCCAACTGGGAGGAGACCCAAGAAAAGACCAAGGACACACTGAAGGGACTATGTGTACCTGCTGGCCAGGGAATGCCTTGGGATTACCCCGGAATAGCTGGCCCAAGTAGCTTGGTAGGGGGAAGTCTGGGCCTCTCAGCTTAGGCTACTGCCCCGACCCTAACCCGACTCCAGATAAGCGGCTGAAAATGGATGGATGAATGAGCGAGAGTGAGTAAGTAACCAACCACTTCTTATGTTAACCCACTCAGGCTCAAAATAAGTTTTGAAAAAAGGACGAACAACTAAGTCCCTCAGGGGTACTTCTGAGTTAAAAAAGCTCATGAAATACGTATGTGGAGTAACCAGGTAGGTAGGTTTTAACGTTGCAAATCTGCAACGCCTGCCTCCAGAGGATTAAATCTATTAATCTAATAATTAACAACAATCAAAGACTCTCAAGCACCAAGTGTTTTACACAAATTGGCCCCCTCCACATCACTATCTTCCACTACCAGACATCTGAAACACCACTGTAAAGCACAATCTTACCAGTAGAGGGCACCCTTTACTCTGACTCATTCAAATTCATTCGCACTGTAGTTCCTATGTTGACATTGCAACACTACAAATAGATGCATCCATGGTTGACCTCCCTCATAAATCAGAATGAGAAGGAAAAACAGTTTTTTTGGTGGCATGACGGTTGTTCAGCTGTTGCCTAATTTCTGTAAGGATTTTTAACAAAAAGGCTCAGCCACTCTAAAGGGTGGGAATGTACAGGAGCCACCAAACAATGCTTCATTATAGTAGTTTAAGGCTGGTTCATTCATACGAACAAACTGGTTTTCTCACCTGGGAAATTAAATAAGCCACGCCTGATGGTAAGATGATAATGAATATAAGACTGTTCTATTGTACCTTAGGGGTGGATTTGGGATGGAAGGTTAGAAAAATACAAAACAAAACATTTAAACTGTAAATAGACACTTCCATGGTTACATTTGGGTCAAGGTTTGAAGATTTGCTGAGAACTGAAGAAATTAGGTAAGTTTTTATCTCAAGTGAGAACTTGTGTCACAATCTCATCAAAAGTTGGCCAAGTTTTTCACTATCGCAGAGGGAGGAGCACCAGCCTTTCATAGATGATAAAACTCCAGAAACATCACAAGGTTTTTGCTCTGATTCCAAATATTTACATTTAAGATCTAGCTCTATATTTCAATATTTGGCTTTATTCACCCAATGTGAATGTGCCTGTTAAATATTTAGTTTGAAAAGACTAAATTTCTAGAATTTGTTAGATTTTGATGTATATAATTTGACTTTAACTGAAGTAACTACTCATGTATGTGTGTGTTTTAAAAAGAACTGAAAGATGGAAAATGTGTGTGTGTGTGTGTGTGTGTGTGTGTGTGTGTGTGTGTGTGTGTGTGTGTGTGTGTGTGTGTGTGTGTGTATTTTAATCTATGTTTACATATTTAGATTTTATTATAAATGTTTAGATTTAACTAGTATTGATGTTGTTTTCTAATGATTTAGATCCCCTTTATAGATTTATTCTAAACGTTTCCTTTTGTTTTAATGTATTTTGATATTATAGTGAAACTATTTCTTTTTGACATAATATGTTTAGAAATTATTCCAAATGATCATTAATATATTTAGTAATTATTATAAATATTCAGATGTCAGTTTTTTAATTAGGTTTTTATTACTCTAATATTTGGTTTGGCACTGTGTTTAGATCTTATTGTGTATTTTGATTGACTTGCATAATTAGACTTAATTCTGAATAGTCACATAAAAGTTAACTTTTGTTTTTTATTTTTTTTTACTCGGAGCCCCATACACCTTTGACCTTGTAGCGCTCTTAATTTTCTATCAGTGCGGCATAACAAACATCAGTGACTCACATGTTACAGGAACCGAGTCAGACTTTATAATATAATATAGAAAATATGGAAGGTAAATATGACGTATTAAGGTTTAAATCAACTTCGACTGTAAAAACGGGTTTTGAGTAGAAACTTTAAATAAAATGCCATTAAATTCTAAAATAATGACATCAAAGAAAACAAATCTTTAAGGATATAAAGTAAACCGAGTTTTTATCTATAACCAGCAGCAGCAGACAGACTAATGCGGTTAAAGGTCACTGCAGCAACAGGAAAAAACGCAATTCAAACAGCTGTTTAATGCCGTAAAGTTTTTCCAGCAGCCAATCAAGAGTCGGCTGATTTCTTTTTGAATGGGTTGTTTTAGTACGTCAGCCGCAGAATCAGCAGAAGCGATAGTAAAAGCGTGGCTGATCTGGTCCTACCTGTTCCCGTCAGGTAGCTCCCCGGGCGGGAGAGCCGACAGCTGCTGGAGGGAAACCAGGCTGATGCAACACACAGCGAGCGGGAGAAAGGACCGCATCTCCGGGTCAGCTTCAGCTCTGCTACACCCTCTCTCTCTGAGAAGGAGGGGACAACCTCACGGGCTTTCAGTCCCAGCAACGGATGGAGGAAATTATTTGATGGATAAATAAATAACAAAAACTTCACAAACTGGAGATTCCAGGTGAAACCTTTGGAGAAAAGAAAATGGGAAAAAGTTTTAGTTTTTCCCCAAATAAAAGCAAATATAGTCGTTTTCCTCAGAGTGGGGGGGAAAAAACCCTCATTAATCTCCAACAATACTGTTACAATTCATGATGCACCAGTTGCAGACAGGACTGTTACCTGGAAGTCTTTGGAAAATCTAGCAATATGAAATATTTTCCATAAAACTTTCTCATTAATTAAGGAAACGGTTGTTCTCACCTTTAACGTGTAGGAAATAGAGGGAAGGTTCAGTCAAAGGTCTTTTTAAATGGAGTCTTGTTGGTCAAGCCCAACTCTGAGTGTGAAACAGTGCAGGCCTGGATTTAAATAGTGAGTGGGCGGAGTTAGAAGACATCAGGGTTGCGTGATAAATCAGAGGGAGTTTTAAAATCCCATTTAAGCTAAAAAAAAAGGGTTTGAACAGACAATTAAATATCAGTTGAATTAAAATCAGGACTTTACTTTTAACTTTAAACGGTTTTTAGAGTTTGCTGAAGGCATTAACTATTTACCAACCATCTCGTTTAGTGTCAGATCTTATAAAGCCGCTCACTAGGAGATGATGGGGTACCTTCACATAAGTCACCTCATAGTGATTCATTCCAAAGACCGCCACCCAGAGGCCATGATTGGAATCACATAATTTATGAATAAAAGGGTTAAATATTATCTAGCTGAATGCCATCCTGAACAGTTCTCATAACTGTTAGATCGTTCTTACGAACTGTGGAAAGTACCCCCTCACCCACTTATTTATGTTATCATAAACCAGCATGTGTACACTCAGGAAGTACGTCTCAAATTTTCGAGAAATTCTCGAGTAAAGCCGGCCTCCTTGTCCTTATCACCTTCGGACAAGTGTATAACACTGATATGATGCAGGAGCTCTTCACAGACACAGCACTTTTTAACTACATACAGCACACATGAATTCATTCAATTATTTTGGTTTATCGTCACATGAGGAAACCAGTCAGAACCAGCCAGCATGATTCAGAAGATAGTAGAAAACCTGGAAAAAGTTGTTTGCATGCTTTCTCACAAAATCATACACCTAAACAAGTGGGTGTGTGGGTGAGCTGCAGGTTCAAACAAGCTATTTACTAATTTGACTAATGACTCAGATCTTAAATAAAGAGCCCGTCTTGTGCCGTGTCAACCTTTCCGTCAATGTTTTATTGTAGTGCTTATAGATACGCCTGATTTTGTCTCAGCTGTGAATATGCAATAGAAATAGAAATTAGGAAAGACACGAGAGGCAAAACACTCTATATGTGATGTTTGCTTCATTTTTGTTGCAAAAAAAACCATCTCAAGCTCTAGAGTTTTTAAGATGTACACTTCCTGTAGATGAAAACTACCAAAGGAGGCAGCAGATGTAAATAAAATGACAACAAATCAGCACCCACTGAACTATTAAAAAATCTAGTTTTTTAATAGAGATTATTACGACTATTCAATGATAGGTTTTATTTGATTAAAGAAACAAAATCCTTCACCAGAGGGCAGATTATATGTATACCACTGGATGTAGCAGTTTCTGATTAACACACACACACACACACACATACACACACACACACACACACACACACACACACAAACACACACACACACACACACACACACACACACACACACACACACACGTTTTCAGGGTTGTTGCAGTCAACTGGAAGCCTCTACATTTGTCCTGTCCTTAGAGGACCAGTTTACCTTGTGTTGAATCTTTCATGGATGTTGCATGTTTTGTTTCTACCCCTGACCTTCACCCATGGTCTTCGTATTGATTTGTGACGACACAAGAGGAATTTCCCAACAGCAAAACGTCATTCATTTATAGAGAAAACAGGTCTCTTCAGTGTTTATGTAAGAGTTGTCCAAGCCCTGGACGCCATCGTCCCCTCTGGTTTGATCCCTCCGTTACTTTTGTTTCAGGCGGCAATTAGCGAACGCGAGTCAGTAGTGTGTGATGCTGGCAGTCACGTCCCAAGGTCCTCCGTTTGTGGCCGTGAAGCTTGTCTGAAAAGGAAAAAGTGGGGAGGATGCGGTCAAATGATCAAAGAGCTTGGAGATTTGTGCTTGCTTGCTTCCTGCTTTCTCTGTTGATGTGTTGGATAATGTGGGTCTGTGAATGACTGTCACTGGGACATGGTCCATTTCAGAGTGAGGAACTGCAAGCTAGCATGCCTCATTAGGCAGAAGCCCATTCTCACACCATTACAGCTCAAAAGCATCATGTGATGGTGAACAGTCTCCAGTTATGTTTGTAAGAGGTTGGTTTTTCTTCAGAAGTCTGCTTTACTTTGAATCAGCTCTCACAGCCTCACTCCCAGTGCTGCCCCTTGTCTCTGGTCCTCGTGGACAACATCCCAGTGCATATTCATGGTGGGGGTGATGTCTGATTTGGAAAGCTCAGGATATCACCGAGAGGAGCCAGTGGTTAGAAGGCCTCCTGGACACCTCCCTGGTGAGGTGTTCCAGGCACATCAAATCAGGAGGAGACCTAAAGGAAAACTGAGGACTATGACTTTCAGCTGGCCTAATGTCTTAGGATTTGCCTGGAGGAGCTGGCCCAAGTGGCTGGGGAGAGGGAAGTCTGGGCCTCTCTGCTTAGGCTTCTGCCCTCGCGACCCGACCTGAGATAAGTGAAGGAAAATGGATGCACGGAGGATTTTCAGGATGCACCTCCAAATGTGGGCTTGCGGTGCTTTTCTTAAAGACCAGGTTTTAACACATTTGCAGTGGTCTCTTGTAACAATTAATTCCTTGTGAGTGCGTTTATCTTTCTGGCGCTCCTGTTTCAGGTAGTAGAAGTTAGACAGAGGTGATAACCTGGTAATTGGACATCTCGCCTCTGATTGGCTAACAGCAACATGACTACCACTGACTCTGCCCTGCAGCATTGATGTTTTTTTCTTTACATAACACAAGCCTGAGGGAGTCTGCTGAGTAGTGGAGTTGCTAATGCTAACTGTTGGTTGCTACTAGCCGCGATGTTCTCTGTTCTCTCCTGGATGCTAAATCCGGGGCTGGCTGGGCTCAGCCTTAGAGGAAAGGGCTCTGGGACAACCTTGTCTTAATAGGAATTTGGATATGATGGATGGAATAACTGTGAAAACCAATGATTTGACCATGAAATTTGTTGCTTAACCACATCAGTACTTGACAAAAAATCTGTTTCAAATAACTATAATTTTTGTTTTATTCTCTATAGGACTTCTAGATCAGAGTACACTGGAGGTGAACAGCATGTTTATAAAAAAAACTCTTTGCATCAACTTGTTCTTTATCTGTTATCAGCCTCTCCATTCCACACCTGGATGTACTTCCAGATGATATCACAGCTCCTCAGATAGAAAACAATCCATGTTGATGTGTGATTTCTAATTTTTTTACATTGATTTCACAGTCAGGAGTTAAGTGAAATGTTCCTGAAGCAGAACCTCGATGCCATCGTGTTCCAGCTAAATGAGACGTGATGGAAAACAAAGAAAGCTCCCTGGGAAAGGCGGTGGGATGGGAAGCGGCTGAGCTGAAGAACTCGATATACAAACACACAACACCTGCTCTGGAAGGACGCTTCATTTATCTGGCTCAGAAGGGTTTGTATTTTATGTCTGCAGACATTCTGGTTCTGCCTTGGATTACAAAAACACATTTCCCATATTTCCCATCAGCATTTTAGCCAAAGTTATTAATACATCCTAATCAAAAAGGGGACTACACCCTTTCCAGGCAGATTTCCTTTTTGCACGTGATGCAGCAGCTGCATTTAAATGAGATCAAACTACCCACCTTGAGATGCTATTGTTTAATGAGCTTCAGGGCTCTTTTTTGTATAGGTTACTGAAAATAAATCAACTCATTATTTTTTGAAAGATTCCAGTTTACTTCATCAGGCTGCAGAAGTCTAACGATTGCTGCCCTCTAGTGAAGCATGTGTAGCATTAACATTAGAAATGGAATCTGACAGTTCTTCCCACACAGCCCAGTTTGGGCAAAATAAATAAAACAGACTGAGTTTATCTTTGTTTCTGAAAACATCATCTGAATATAAACCACTGAATTAAAAAAAATACTCCAAACAAGCCTGTTGTACATCTCTGTGAGGATCTTTTGCTGTTTGTGACCGCCTCAGTAAACTTTGTTTACATTGTTTGTTTGAGATTGTGTACAACAGGATCTGTATGAGCTTGTCTCAGTTCAAACCGTGTGTGTGAGTGTGTGGGAGGAGAGTCTAATCAGGGAGTGGGCTTCACACAGATGAGGGATTACATTTCACTGTGGGAAAGATGAGAAGAACACAAGCAGCTGAAAACTCCCAGAACTCAAGGTGCTTTAATAAAAAATGCATGTATGTGGAAAACATTTAAAAAGACAGAAATTACAACTTTAAAACAAAGTGAGCTTCCTCCTGCACACATCACTAACTTTTGATTGTTCTGCAAAATATGCCTTAGAAGAATAGGGTTGCAGACAGAAATCAGAAGGACTCATAGCTGATCGACATTCGGCCGTGGTCTTTCTGTCAGTCTTAATCAGAGTCAATGTTTGTCAAGGTTGGCGTGACATTGCACAACTTAAACAATCAGCAATAACAAAAACACAGGTCTATCACACAATATAAGAGGATTTTTCTATTCTATCACGAGTGCAAATGTAAACCTATCTTGTGTCAACTTGGTGCATCATGAACTTATCCCAAAAACCCAGGTTCCTGGAGAGTGTGCTCTGCTGTTATTGGATTAAAGTCTCAAAAGTTTTATAAGCAGCTCTAATATTTTATTCAAATATTATTGCATGCATATTATCAGTTCTCAGAAAAAGACTGCAACTTCTGATAAAAAAGGTAAATTCAGACATTTTAGTATTTCTAATTTCTAAATATATATATATATATATATATATATATATATATATATATATATATATATATATATATATAAATTATTCATTAATAGTTAGTGATGTTCCTATTGTATAATCATGTCTAGTTAAGTCATGTATTATTTCCAGACTTGATAACTGGAATTCTCTGTTATCAGGAATTCCAAAGAAATACTCTCAGAGGCCTCCAGCTCATCAGGAACACGACTGCCAGAGTTCTGATGAGAGTCATGAGAGCTCAGATTCTTCCAGAATTAGCATCTTTTCATTCCAGAACCAAATAAAAATCTTACGTCAAAATGATAAAGCTCTTAAAAACCAGGATCCATTTTTTTTACTAATGATCTTTTTGGTCCAGATGTTCCCAATGAAGCACTTGGTTTATAAAAGTAGAGCGTGAGGCGAAGCTGTCAGTTCTTGGGTGGAACCAGCTTCTA